CAGACTGAGCTATTCGACACACTGTATTGGTCTCTCTCTCCTGACATGGTCTAATGTGAAGCTGCTTCCGGCAGAGACACCTGCTGAGGACCCAGTGTGTTAGTGTACACTGTCAGAGTGAAGCGTGACTCAGGCACTGTTATTTTACAAGTCACTGTACTTTATGAATATTAATTCCCAGTGTCATTGTAATCCCTGCACAGCTCTCTCAGCCAAATTACAATTACATAACATCACATGAGGGAGTGGAGTCATCACAGTAATAAGGAGCAGCAGTTACTGCGCAGACTTGTCCTACTCTGAATCAGTACTGCATGCTACTTTGTGGCTGGTGCATCGTTAAATCAAAGACAGCAGTTAGGAGATGGACATAAAAGAGCTTGACACGAGCTAAATGCACGTGTATCTGACACACAGTCTGATTCGCACTACTTAGGATAAGTTTTCATATCCTCAAAACATATTTCAAAGTTCTTAATAGATCATAATGTCTCATTTTTTAATTATAATCCTGTTTAGTGGAAAATGAACAACAAAACAGTCTAGTTGACTAGTACATGTATTAAGATGATAAGAATTTGAAAATGTCTTTACCGGATCTTGTAGCAGTGTTTAGCGGTCCAGATTTCAAAACCCAACGGGCAGTATCTGGACCATGGGCCATGTAGTGTATGACATCAAGTTTACCTCTGTGTCGTGGACAATGACATCAGGGGTCATTTAAATGCTTGATCATGTTTCATGTCAAAGATTTTTTTTGACAGTCCATTGTCTTGGACTGTTTTCTGACGTTTTATCTTTAAGGGTAGAGAAAAAAATCTTTATGTCCAGGGCTAATTTATTTGACAGGAAGTTTTGTTAGTGATGCAGTGATGCAAGGAGGCAGCAAAACACCAAACACTGAGGTAAAATCAGCTCTAAGGTTGATGCAGAGGGTACAGTGTAAATGCTCACTCCATCCCCCGGCTCCAGTGGAGCTGTGCTGTGCAGGGCAGACTGGCTTTGCTGCTGACTGTTGGCCTGAGGTAATTCTCCTCTCACTGAACCTTTCTTGGACGTCATCAGCAGTTATGAGGGGAGGGCTGTGAGGTCAAAGTTTCCTGCCGACCTGGCTCTGTTCACAACGGGCACACAGTCCAAGGTGCTTTGTATTGTAAGTCATTGTTAATTAATTTGATCCCACTTGTGGAGCTGCACAGTCCTCTCAGCTCCTGCTGTTCATGCTTTAAACCAGTGGTCCCCGACATTTTTTGCACCATGCGCCGACTTTACGTAAGACAATTTTTCCATGGACCAGCAGTACATATACAGTCAGAAATAGGAATTTGACTTCAGGTTATTTGTTGTCAGTCCTAAAAGAGAAACTGAGTCTGGACCTATTAAATTTTTTTTAGAATTGTCCGGGAAACGCAGGCAGAAGAAGACGCAGTACCCCCAGACTATGGGAAAAGTTCAAGGAACTATGTAGCCCATCAATGGTGGGACTCGTCAGAGAAGCACAAGTCCAAGAAACGGGTAAAACGATGAGAGTGAACATTCTGTTTAAGGAGAAAGAATAGTTCCTCCATATTTCCCTTTTATATACAGTAGTTTGTTTTAAAGAGTTGATATTTTGACTTCTTATTTTTCAAGACAAAATGTTTTGTGACATTGTTATAGACAAATAAAATAGACTCACATACCAGTGCAGTGGCAGGATGGCGGATGTTGGAACTGGGACATGACTCTGTGGAAGCTGGGTGTTATTTCTTTCCTTTTCCTACATGGCAAATACACTTCTTTTGTTCTTTTTTGTTCCTGTTAATAAAGATGATGGATTTATACCGTATTATCCAATTGCTCGTCAAAAGGCTACAGCAGTGAAAAAATCTGACTGCGCCGCCATTCTTCCATACCTCAGGGTACGCATGTCCCCAGAGTCTGGGAGACTCCATGAGCCCTGGCACGTCTTAAACTAGTTCCCCGACTGCTGAAAAATAGGTCAATCTATGCTTAATTCAGAATCACAGTCCTTGAGCAGCTTCTCTGCGTGGTCCACATTTGTCCTCTCTTGGCCTCATTGCGGTACTTTAGCAGTTTGACGTTTTCTCTAAGACGGTACTTATTGACTCTGGGTTCAAGGTGGAACCGGGCTTTTCGTAAAACGTCTATGAAACACGTGTGGAACGTGTTTTGTGTCCTCTGATACTGGGAGATGCTGACGACCTCAGTAAGTTCACTTAATCCCTAATCATGACCTTTGAGGCAATAGATACTTCACGTTGTAGTAGAAAACATTTGACACTTGATGGCTCCAGTGGTGCAAGAACAGGTGAATGTTTTGTTGTTTGTGTTTGCAGTGACACGTTTGTGTACTTTATGAGTATTTACCTTCTCTGTGTTTTTGCTCCTGCATTTGAAAGTTCATTACCAGTAAATCAGACAGCGGCAGCTCTTTATGAATGAAACCCAAAAGTTTCATCAGCACTTGAGACAAAGCAACACTTTTGTCCATGTTCATGCTGTGTTACACGTTTGGTGAGAATTGTTGGTATTTTTCAGTCGTCTTACAACCAGAGAGTTGCGGGTTTCGGGGGTTATGTATATGCCCCTACCAGGTAGATCACCACTACAGACACCACTTCCAGTCATATTTTTTCAGTTTCAGTGGTTCAGTCCCAGATATTTCTGTATATAGTTTTTTTTTCTTTGTGTGTGTATGCTAGGCTTCTCCATCTTCCAAACACATGCAGTTTAGGGATTAGGTTAACTATTCACTCGAGACTGACCATTACTGAATATGGGTGTTAATGTGAGTGTAAATGGTTGTCTGGCTGAATACGTGTGTGATGGACTGCCTTGTTGTTTGGTCTGTGCCTCACCCTCAATATACACCTTAGTGCTCAGTGCAATTACAATGGCCTCAATCATGTGGAGTTTACATGTCCTCTCTGTGTGTCATCAGGTCTTCTCTCCATAATCCTGCATTAATCCCATTTGGACTCAGGTTGTTTGACCAGCCTTTGATTCAGCAGATTAGGTTTTATCTCAAAATTATTTTTACAACTTCCAGAAATGCAGCTTGGTTGAACTTACATTCTCTGTATGCAGGCAGTAATTTCATTATTCTAATGACATGTTTGACCTAATATGAAAGAAGTAATTATTAATTTAACAACACTCCAACACTCATTTAACCTGGGTAAAACGCACTGAATACTGAATCATATTGCCTGGCAGTGAGACGCTAATGTGTAATTTATCTTTACACATCATTCATGTCATTTTAATGACAACGAGCAAAAATAACCCTCAAAAATTAGCACTCAAACTTGGAGTAAATGTGTCTGCAGTTCAATGTAAATAAGACCGATTTTTGAGTGTTTACCAAATGTTTGAATTTCTGATATTTGACATGTGCTCTATTTAGGCCTGTGTTGGTCTGTCACTCCGTGTGATGTCACATGTGACATCATACATCCCTGTTTCAACGACACGTCATTTTGATCTGACATACATCAAACCCTTGTGTTTGGTATGTCAAAGGAGCGGCCTTTGAATTAGCCCACATTCTTCAAATTCTGGTACAACATGGAGTGGAACTGCAAGACCTGATTAGTGTAGCAGCTGCAAAGTGTCAATCATCGCAAAGCCTGTCTGATCTGGCATTATAACGGCTGGTACTGGACAACTGGTCTTTAATACAAGACAAGTTGTCCAGTACCATTGAGTCCATTAAGGCTGCTGCCTTAATGGACTCAATCAAGGAAAAAAACTAGGCATTGAATCTAAGTCCTTTATAAAGAGAGGTTCTAGTTCTGAA